TCTGTGTAGCCAGCCTTGTCGATGGCTTCCTTCACCAGTTCCAAGGCTGGGGATGGAATACAGTGAGATTATCAGCAGGAATGGTGGGCAAGGAGGAATGAGGGACAGAAAGAAAATCAGAGCAGAGGTCGAGGACCTGCTGGGGAGACGTCTGGCTAAGGTTGTTGTTGGGGTTACCCCCATGTCTGGGAAGAGCAAGCCTTCTTCTAGGAAGGCAGAGGAATGGAATTCTGTTAATAATAGGGTTTTTTTAATAGTTATCATTTATTGAGGGCTAACTATGTCACCCAAGCATTTTATCTATACAGTCATGTGCTGCCTAACAATGTTTTGGTCAACGACAGACCACATATACAACAGTGGTCCCATAAGATTGTGCCTTATAGCTGAGATGTGTAGTAGGCAACATCATGTAAGTTTGTGTAAGTACACACTATGATGTTCACACAAAGACCAAATCGCCTAACTGCGCGTTTCTCAGAACATGTTCCATCATTAAATGACGCATGACTATATGATCTCATTTAATCCCCACAGTGATGCTATGAGGTAGATACTGTATTATTCCCCTTTTCCAGATAAGAGAGATGAAGCATTGAGAAGGTAAGTAAGAAAGATCACTAGCCAGTAACTCTTCAAGGTTCTATCCAGATAATTTGGCCTCAGAACCTTAACTTTTAATCACGACCTGTATTGTTTCTATTCACTAGAACAGTTTCTCCCAGGGCAGAGAAAAATAAGCGATCCTAGAGGCCTAAGAGGTTGGAGTGGGAATCGGGTAGATTTGGAATGGATCCCTGGAGTTTGGTGTGTCTCATCAAACTGTGAATCCTATGGAGTAAAGGCCGGGATGGCTCAGCCCACAGGTCACCTAGACCAGCATTCCAAGGGGCTCCAGTGAGAATGTACAGTTGCTAACAGAGCTGGCTGGGCAGATGAAGACTGTCCTCGCAGGCCTACTTGTGAATTTGGCAGTCCCTCTGCAACCCACTCCAAGAACCCGTACCTCTTGGAGTTAGCTCAAGGACCATCCACCAACACTCCTTAGGATTTAGTGAAGTGTGTGGTCCTTCCTGATGCCCCAGGATGGAGTGAGACTTAGAGTTGGGAATGGGGCTCCTGGCCTCACCTTCACTGTTCTCCAGGATATTGGGGGCAAAGCCACCTTCATCTCCCACATTGGTGGCATCCTTGCCATACTTGTCCTTGATGACCCCCTTGAGTGTGTGGTAGACCTCCGCCCCAAGTCGCATGGCATCCCGAAAGCTCTCAGCACCCACTGGGAGGATCATAAACTCCTGCATGGCCAGCTTGTTCCCAGCATGAGAGCCACCATTGATCACGTTGAAGGCCTGGGAGCCACAGGACAGAAAAGTCACAGAGCACTTCCCTTTTTGTCCCTAGGAGTGTTAACCCAAGATCTCAAACTTCCCCCAGCTTCCCAGAGTCAGGGTCTCAGGTCCCCATCCTTTCTCTTTAGCTGTCCCCACTCACTTTTCTCTCATCAACCTCACAAGGTTTCATGCTCCCCCACCCCACCCCTGGGAGAGGCACAGGCGTGGCAGGTAGGCTCACCGGCACAGGCAGGATAAGGTCTGAGTTCCCAGCCAGTTGAGCAATGTGGCGATATAGGGGCAATTCCCGCTCAGCTGCCCCTGCCTTACACACGGCCAGGGACACACCCAGGATGGCATTGGCCCCAAACTTGGCTAGGAGATTAGAGACAAAGGCACTGAGCAAAAATGTCCCTTCCTCTTCTAGCCCTTGCCTCCACCTATATTCCCCAAAAGGAGCCAGTAAAGGAGACCTCCTCCTCCCTCTCCACTCCTGCAACATTTCATCCATCCTCTCCTGAAAATAGCAGGGAAAGGGGATAGGGAGAGAGGAGGTGATTGCATAGGGCAGTGAGCTGCACCTATTTTTAAACATCTCTGAGACCACAGAGCATCTCCTGCCAACTCCCACCTTTTTATGCTGCAAAGTTCTTTCTGTCTAATGTCACTCCCTCCCACCGCAGTTAAACTCATCTTCTCTTGCTCTGGCTTTGGGAGGAAGATGGAAGAAGGGCTAGTCCTCTGACAGTCCTTCCTAAGGAAGCCTCCACAGCGCTGGCTCCTTCAGGTCTGTCTGCTCCACATGTTCCTACCCTCACACCTCCCCACTTTCTCCCTGCTTACATTTGTTCTCAGTCCCATCCAACTCCAACATCAGGTTGTCCAGCTTCTCCTGCTCCACCACAGAGAAACCCTGTGGGCAGAGCCGCCATCACCCAGGGCCAGGACGGAGGCTGGACCCTAAGGTGGAGCCTGCCCCCCTCCATACACAGGCTCCCATCCAGCCAGGGTCCAACCAGGTTCCTGTGACAGCAGCCTATCTGGAATAGGGGACATGAACCCCCACGGGAGCAGGGGTCAGTAAGGCGTCTTCTCCCCACCCTTCCCTTGGTAACCATGATCCCCAAGAGGTGGGCCTCTCTCCCTCTTCTTCTTCCTCCCCTAATCCAGGATTCCTTCCAGGACCCTGGTCCTGCCACCCCCAGCAAAGAGCGGGCCTCACTGAGCTGATGAGGGCTGGTGCGATGGTGGTGTTGATGTGGTCCACTGCCTTCAAGACACCTGGGGAGAGGCAGAGAGGCCAGACTGGGTCATGCCAGGAGGGGCCAGAAGGAAAAGGGGGAAAGGCTGCAGGAAGAGGGTTGGGGACTGGTGTGAGACAGGAATATCAAATTGAGCGGTGAGAGAGCCTGGAAAAGAGAAAGGGCCTTACCTTTGCCTAAGTAACGCTGTTTGTCCCCATCTCTCAGCTCCAGGGCCTCATAGATCCCAGTGGAGGCTCCACTGGGCACTGCAGCCCGGAAGAGACCTGGGAGAGGAACACGAACTGAGAAGGGAGGGAGAAGGACGCCACAGGGACCAGGGATTCCTTCAGCCTTCCAGCTCTAAACTCCAGCCTGCCACATCCAATCCTCTCCCACACTGCTCCCTCATACACACAGACACACACATGCACACACACAGAGGCAGATGTACAAGCAGTGGCCTCCTCATCCACCCCACTGAGGTCCCACATGCACAAGTAGGAACCCACAGAAATGAAGCTCTGCAGGCAGCACACACATGCACACACACACAGGTGCACACACAGACGTGCAGAGGCAGGGCATGTCTCATACACTAAACCAGAACGCAGAGACCTGCCTCTCCAGGCTCCCTTGGACAAGGAGGATCCAACCCCCACAATGCAGGCTTTTGAGCCTGGCCCAGCACCCCATCCCCACTGGGAATCAAGCATGGCGGTAGTGAGAAGGCCCCGGCCCTGCTCATTACCTTTGGCAGTGCAGAGATCCACCTCCACCGTGGGATTCCCACGGGAGTCCAGGATCTCCCGGGCCCAGATCTTCTCTATGGACATGATGGCTGGGATCTCCTTGGGTGGAAGGGAAGGAGGCAGAACGATAAGAGGCTTAGAAGGGTGGAGCCTGAGATCAGTGGGAGGGGCCAGAGGCTGGGCGGGATGGGAAAGAGGTTACTGCAGTGGGTAGGGGGTGGGGAGGAGCTGGCTGCAGTTGTCGGCTGTAGAAGGGATCCCCCCCACCCCCAACATGGGGAGAGGAGAAGGTCAATGCAGTGAGGAAGGGGAGGTCACTGCAGTGGGGGGCGGGGTAAGATCAAACGACGAGATAGGAGGACACCGCAGTGAGGAGCGGAGGGGCGCGGCAGTGGTTCCCTCGTCCCCTCAGCAGCTTCGGCAGCCAGCCGGCTGGTGGGGTTCCCCCAGATCTCTTCAGAGCAGAATGGCTTCCAGGCTTGCATTTCTTCTTGGAGCCGAGACGAAGATGGGTCGTCCGGGCAGCTGGGGCTCTCCTCCAGAGCCCCCATCCCAACACCTTAACACCTCAGCCCCTAGTCTCTTTCCCAAACCTACATCCTTCCTCTTCCCGAGAGAGGTACAGTAGAGAAGTCTGGAGAGAGGGTCCTGCGGAAGGCCGGTAGTCCCTGGGGTTGCAGGGGGGAGGGAGGAGGAGGAGAGACCCGGGGCAGAGGCAATGCTGGGCTCGTTCTCCCCGCTGCCCCTAGACAAATTCTCCCCTCCTCCCATCCCTCCCCCTAGCACGGAGAGAAGCAGTGTAAAAGGAGAGGGGCGAGGTGGGGGAGGAGTGGAAGAGAGAGTCGTCTAGAGGAAGTCTGGGGATGCTGAGGTAGGGTGAGAGAAGATATTTCCCCAGATGCAAAGCCAACGGACGTGCCAGGATAAAAATGCACAGCCCGGGGAGACCCCAAACTCAACAGCGACAGAACTGGAGGCGGAGAGGGGCATGGGGAGTGGGGCAGGTTAAAGGTGGAGAAAGACGCAGTTAGAGAGAAACAGGTGCAGAGAGGCCCGGCGCCCAAATGAGGAGGGGGCGACAGCCTGAAACCGAGAGGAGCGATCCGAGAAGGCCAGGGAAGAAGGGTGCCCAGGGGACGGAGCAGGTGCGCAGCGCCACTGGGCGAGAGATGCGCACAGGCCAGGGGAAAGGGACGAGGACCGCGGCGGAGGGGAGGGGGCCGGAGGGGCGCAGGGGTCTGGTCGGGGGTTCACCTCGGGGCTGCGACTCAGCCGGTGGCGGTGGCAGTAGCGGCGGCGGCGCAGAGAGAGCAGGAGTGGCAGCGCGGCGGCGGCGGCTGCGGCTCCCGGGCGGCGGGCGGCGGGCGGGGGGCGGGCGGGGGGAGGCGCCGATAGGGCCAGGCGGGCGCATGTGACCCGGAGCCCCCGATGAGTCAGGAGCCGCCGGCGGAGGCGCACGTAGGAGCGCGGGTGGGGGACCGACGGGAGTGGGATGGGGGAGGGCTCAGGGGAGAGCGATGGGGGAGGGGCTGGGGGCCACCCAGGACCTGACCCCCCCCAGAGCCCACGCGCGCTCATACCACGCCCTGACCCCCTCGAAAGTCAGAGGCGCAGCCTCACACCGGTGATCATCCAGTGATGCCCATATGACAAACTCAGTCTCACAAACCCGGTCAGACACGAGTAGCAAAATGTCTCTTTATTGAAACATGGAATTGTTCCTAACACCCCAGCCTGCCTCCGCAGCGCCTCTGCAGCCAACTCTACAAGCATCCCCTCAGCCCCTCCAGGCCTAGCTCGCACCCCTACCTGCCGGAGGGCTGCCCCTGCCTAGGCTCTGGGCCCACCCGCACCGCTGCTCAGGGCACCACTGCCCAGGTGCCCTTCACAGAGCCTGGGCTGCAGGCTGTGATGAATTCCCAGGGCTGGAGCAAGAGAAGGTATCCTCTAGGAATGTGGCAGCCCTCCTGACTGGGAGCCTTCTCAGTTCTTGGGGCCAGTGTCTTTTTAATTTCCTGGAGAAAGAGGACGGAAGTTAAGTTCCGGGGCCCTACTGCTTTCCCACTGCTGCCTCTGCCCCCATCGGAAGTACCCAGCTGCCACACATCCTAGGACTCGACTCGTCTCCTCAGTCTCCTTCTGCCTCGCCCTGCCCTCCTTTCTTCCCCTGACCCCTGAGTCCTATTATTTTTAGCTTCAGATTTTTAGTGCAGGATCTTCCTCTCCTCCCTTCTCTCCTGGGCCCAGCTGCATTCCTCATACACCACCACCAAGCTCCCTCCTCTGTCCCCCACCAGGCCCCAGACCTGTCCTTTCCAGCTGATCTTCACTCCATGTCACGTGTGGCTGCCTACCCCACAGCAGCATCTCTGCCTGCCACCCCAGTTCTTTTCACGTATTCTTCTGGCCTCCTGATGTATTTCCTAAGCCTTTTCTCAACTCCTCCCTGGCCCTTCCAGTTCATTCTCCCCACCCTGAGACACTCCCTGACTCCTAACCCCGGTCTCTCCAAGGCTTCTCTTTGCCTTATCCTTTCCTCACCCACCTCCTCCTATAGCAACTTCTCTTTCCCCTATAGGCCAGGCCCTTGGCCTCCTCTTCCTGCCAGCTTCCTTACTATCCTTGAAGGCTAGAAGAACCGCTGCTAGGTCGATGGTTGGTCCAATTCCAAGTCATGCTCGGGCTCAGCCTCCTGCTCCTGATCCTGCTCCTCCTTCATCCTCTGACGGATCTCATCGGCCTCAGCCCGCTCCTCCTCCTCGAAGAAGTCCTTGTCCAGGCGTTCGAGGTGTGCCATCTGCACCAGGGCCTCCTGGCGGTAGTCGTTCTCATCTGTACATGGGTTGTCCAGCAGCACCAAGGCTCGAAGCTTGGGCAGGTCCCGAAGCTTGGCTAGCTCCCCCAGGTCAGTCACCATGTTGCCCCTGCAGGTGCGGACAGGAGGGACTCACTGGGGAATAATGGGCTTTGGAACCCAGCTGCCAGGTATGAGGCCTCTGGGGGAATCTCCCACTGGGCTCCGGTTTCCCTGGAAACACTGCCTCTGTGGACTGGCCTGCCAAGCATTGCCAGATTTGCTGCAGAGGTGCTGTCCAGCCCTACTCCTTCCTGCTTCTGCTCTTCATGGAATCCCTGAGTGCCACAGTCTATTCTGTAACGTATCGTATTCATCCTTTTGGAGCAGCAAAGCTAGGTCACAACCCTGTTGTAGTTGGGGAGAAGGGGGTAAATCTCCCTTGCAGGGACAGCCTTCTGTGTCAATCACACCTAATCCAAGGTTAGACAGGAGGCCCCAGGCCAGTGGAGAAGGAACTGGGATCTAAGGTCATGGAGGAGGGTGCTATGTTGGTGCTCCCCACAGGAAGGAACCTGGAGCTTGGGATGGATTGGGGTTTCCCTGCCTGAAGAACAAGGTTCATTTCCTAATGTGCCTCCCTGTACAGCACTCTGTTTATTTTCATGTTCTTGCCTCATGCCTTTATGAAACCAGGTTTAAATGTTTCAGCATTATCTCAGTGGAGGTGTTGAACCTCACACAGTGTTTCTCACTGGGAGTGCTACATGCGCTTTGTGCTGGACCGTCCTGTACATTGAAGGAAAGTTAGCATCTTTGGTCCCAGAGCCACGTCCCGGTCATCGAGACAACCCCTCCCCTCTATACTTACTTCTAAACAACCCCAGTTAACAGCCACTGAGGAGGGTCTATCTTCCTGTCTAGACCACTAACAGGAAAATAGCACCCTCACCCCTCACCCTACCAGACCAATGTGGCAGAGCTCATCAGCAAGAGATTGCTCCAGGAGTCAGGGCAGGAAGTGGGGCTTCAAGGTGCCCCTGTCCCTACTTGGAGATTCTCTTCCCATTGGCAGCCTAGAGGATTTGGCCTTGTTGACTAAGAAGGCAGCTTCTTTACATTTTTGCTTAAAGAAACACACATAAAATCCTCCAGCCAGCAAGAGATGCTGAAGGAAAATTTCCTGTGATCCCCAGTGCCTTTCTATCTAGAGATTTTCTTTCAAATACTCTTCTCTCTCAAATCTGAGCACATCTTGTGTTTTATATCAGTAAGTGTTTTATATCATCCCTTACAGGTGGGGCTCAGGACAAGAGAGGCAGGAAATGGGAAGGGGAATTGGGGTCCAGGAGATGGAGAAGGGCAGTGGAAACATATGGGATAAGGCCAAGAAAAGAGAGTTGGAGCCAGACTGAGAGTCCCTTGAGAACAGGGACCATCGCTGATTCCTTTAGATGTTCCCGAAACACAGCACAAGGCCTGGCACACAGCACATCCTCCATAACTGTGCAGTGCACAAATAAGGATTCAGGGGTCTCAGGCTATAAAGGCCTCAGTGTTGCAATTAGGACTGAATGTAAAGGAAAGGAAGGGGAAGGATCAGGATGGAAGATGAGGTGAGAATCTGGCAGTGGGCTAGGAGTGGGGGATCGGGGCCAGGGGGGAACACAGGGTCAAAAGCTGCTCCTGGCCAGGGTAGGAGCAAGGTGGGGCCTGGAGGAGATACATACCTCAGGTTGAGGTACTGCAGTGACTTCATTTCCTTGGAGAAGCCACTCAGAGTTTCAATCTGGTTGTCTCGAAGATGCAAGGTAGTGAGATTGCTAAGGTTCTCCAAGCCTTCCACCTTCTTCAGCAAGTTCTGGGCCTAGACTCCAGGATACAGTCGATAGATTGGGAAAGGGGAGCAGGGGTAGGGAAGGAAGAGAAGTCAGAAAGAGATGCAGCAAAAGAGGAAATCTAAGGAGGGAGGGAGGGGTGCAGGAGGGGAGTGAGGTGGGTGGAGATTGGTGTAGAGAGTAAAGAAGTCCAGGAGAGGCTGCCAGGCCAGAGAGTGGTCAGCAGTAACCCCTACCTCTCATCCCCCTGAAGCCACCTCTAATTAGGGAGGAGATGCTTCGACCCACCCCCAGGTCCAAGAGCCCCCACTGCTCCACTGAGGAGAAATGGCTTCAGCACCATTCTGGAATGAAGCAGCTCAGGAGTCTAAAAGGCCAAACATTTAAGTGGCCTCCTCAGCCTGAGGTCTGTACCTCAGTTATGGCACACTATGCTGCTATCTGTATCAAAGTAAATCGTCTCTGCGTTATCCACGCCTTATGTATTAGCCCTGCTAGGTGGTAAGCACCTTATCTGTTTTAACTCTGCATCCCCACAGCACCTGGCACCAGGTAGGGCTCAACAAGTGATACCAACTATCACTATGATGATGGAGTTAGTAGCTGAGCTACTAGAAGCCAGGCATCCTGGCCCCAGGACAGTGCCCTCTTTCCTGCAACAACCACCCTCTGGCCCTGTGAGTTACCAGGAAGAGGTTCTTCAGCTTAGGAAGGTTGATTCCCAGGGTGCTGTCCAACAGGTTCCCCCGAAGCTCCAGTGTATGCAGGCTGATCAGCTTTTGGGGGTCCAGACCTGTCACCATGCGGATGCGGTTTCCTGAGGAGCAGGAGGGTGTCAAGAGCTCAAAGGGCCACTCTGAACGTTCAGCACTACAGCCTGGACTTTGGCATCATCCTCTCCCTTTAATGCTATGTGGGTATGAGGAGGGACAGCTCCAGATTAACGCTTCCAGGGCCCTGGGGCAAGTGGTCTGGTAGTCAAGGGCCTGATGGACCTGTGCACCTAAGCCTTTGAGGAGTGAATGAAGAGTGCCCAGCAATCCACATGGCTACCTCTCACTCCTCCATCAAGTCTTTGCTCAAACGTCAGCTTCTCAGTGATGCTTGTCCCGACCAACCTGTTTGAAATTGCCCACTGTGCCCCCTCACTCCCTTTACCTTGATCTATTTTTTCCAGAGCATATATCTCCTTTTAATATACTACATAAATTGACTTATTTATTGTCTTCATTGATAACTGTCTGTCTCCCCCAACTAGAATGTAAGCTACACGAGAATAGGGATTTTCTTTGTTTTGTTCACTGTTCTATCTCCAGCACATAGAACTGTCATAATGAGTTATAATGAGCATCTGTCTGAATGAGTGAATGAATGAATGCAGATTGCTATGTGGCACAGCCAAAGATCACACTGCGCACTTCTGTTGGCCCCAGGCTAGGAAGGAAAGAATCTTGTGTAGCCATCCTAAGGCCCCACCTTTGAGATCCAGGCTGCCCAGACGAGGATGAGAGATGCCCTCAGTGTCAGTGATCTGGTTATGGGCAAAACTGGCAATCTGCAGGTAGGGCAGCTCGTTCAGCTGGGCGCTCCGCAGCCGGTTGCCATCAGCCTTGAGCCAGAGCAGGTGTGTGAGGTAATTGAGTGGGTACAAGTCTGTCAGGTGGTTCTCAGAAACATCCACATAGCGCAGATGGATGTAGGAACGCAGCAAGTAGATGTCTGTCAGATCTCTAGGAGGTGGCAGAGGCCAGGGTTAGGGTTAAGAATCCAGCAAGGACGGGTAGAGGTGCTAAATCAGGGGCAATATGGGGGGAGAAGAATAGGTGACAGATGGGCAGGGTGAGGAGCGGGAAGAGAGGTAGGTGGGTTCTTAGCAATGGACAGGGACCTTGTGTCTGTGGATGACTGAGAACCAATACCCTGAAGAACAAGAGTGGGAGTCCAGCAGGTATCCCCCCACATACCCTCACAGCCTCCAGTTCCCAGGCCAGCTGTGACATAGCGAGTCACAGGGCTCCTGAAAAGTAAATTCTATCCTTCCCTCCTCACTGGCCCAGGAGGAAAGAGATCCAAACTCTCAGCCAAAACACCCAGGAATGAGAGTGAAAAAGGAGATTGGGCCCTAGATCCTCAGTCCTCTTCTGGTCCCCCATAAACGCACCTCTCTTTAAGCTCCAGCTTGACATAAGCATGAGCCAGTCCACTGCCTGTCTTACAGAGCAGAGAAAGCCCTTCCTTCATCATGTCCTCCGTGAGGGGGCTGGGCATCCACTGCAGGAGGAAGTGTGATCAGGCATCCCTTTCCAGCCCATCCCCATCCCTTAGCCCTAGGACCCCTCTGTTCCCATGTGCTCACTTCCTCAGGGAGTTCTTCCCCCTCCTTCCTGTAGTCCTCCCACTCCTCTGTCTCCTTCTCATCATCTTCCTTTTCCAGATCATCCGGGTCTGGTTCAAAGTCTTCCAGATCATCTTCATCTGACATCTTTCTTCCCTGCTGAGGGCTCTGGAATCAGATCAAGCAAGGTCCTTGTCCTGAGAAAGAAGGGTCTCCTCAGCGTCTTCCAACCCTCGGCTCCCTCACCTCGGTTGACCGGGTGCCCCTCCCATCCCCCCATCACCCCTGACCTCTTCCTAACTATGCTTCTTTCCTCCTTGCCGTGAACATCTCTTTTTGACTCCCAACCTCTTCATACTTCCCACCAAGGACCCCTGTCTCTTCAGGATGCCTTCCCAGACTCCTGACACCTTTCCTGCTCTTCACAGTGGTGGCTCCAACTCTCCTCCAGCAGCTCGGTGGTCTCCCTGCTTTCTAGACTCTTCTCTCCCCAGTTCTTCTCACCTCTTCTTTAAACCACCTTCTCCTCAAATCTCTCCTACTGATCCTTCCCCTCCACTCCCCTTCCGTCCTTAACGCCTGCTCCCCTCGTTTCTTCTAACTCTCCCACCCTGCTTAGCCCCATTTCCCATCTCCTCTGGGACACCAGCCTGACACGGTCTCCAACCCTCCCACCCAATCCTTCGCACAGGGGCGCAGACCCTGGTTCTGCTCCACTAGAAGCGGTTTCGGAGAGGGTCTTGGCCTGGAGAGGGAGATTGTTTTGAAAGAGCCGCAAGGGGTGAGGAGGCGTTGCGTACTGCTGTTATGGCAACCGAGGGGGTGGGCGGGGCACTTGGCTTCCGCAGTGGCAACCGTTGAGAGAAGGGCGGCGAATAACTGAACTGAAAATCCGCCCCGGGGCCAGTGGGTCAGCAGTTGCCTGGTTACGAGCTCAATTTCCTGATTCCAAGAACCCGGATGAGACTCAATAATTGGCAGACGGCACAGAATAATGGGCGGGGCTTAGAAGGGTGCAGAGAGAGGAGGTGGGGCTAGCCATTACGTCACTCGAGACCTTAATTGGACCGGACATCCTCAATGCAAAAGTATTGTGAATTTAAAAGAAACTCATCCCCTGAAGCAAAAAGGGGGAAAGAGGAGCAAGAAATACCAAGGTAAGTGGTCTGGTTCCACCACCACCCAGGTCCCACCCTTTAGTTATTTTCAGGTAGACCTTTGGCAGGTGGCTTGACGGAGTGGAAGGAGCCCAGGCCCAGAGAATCTTGAGACCTGGGTTGGAGTCTTAGCAGATCTGCGGGTTACTACCAATTTACCCAAGCTTCACCCTGTCGTCTGTAAAATAGGCTTAACTATACCAACTGACAGGGATCGAGTATGAGTCTAATCTCTGCTAAAGCGCTGTAAAGATGGCTAAACCCAGTTTAGGAGCATTTCACTCCTCACACCCTCGACTAGTTTGATCAAACCTTTAGGGGATAGTAAGGGAGAAAATCCAACCTGTGTCTACCAAAATAGTCCTCATCCAACAGTGTTATACAAATAATCAACAAGAACGGATACAGCCACACCCGGACACTCAGGCCTGTGTGACTTGTTGAAGGAAACAAAAAAGAGAAAGGTTGAGATGCAACAAACATTTCTGGAGAGTTTGTGCCAGACATTGTGTGAGACGCCTTTACAAGGAATATTTAATCTCCACACCTGTCCTGTGAGACAGATATTTGAAAGAAGAGGAAACTAAGGCTCAGGGAGGTTAATATTTATGACACAATTCCTGCCTGGGGAAAGGGGGATATTACCAATCTTGTAGAATCTAATACAAATAAAACAATTTAGCCAACAAGGCAAGATATCAAGTAATTGCTAAATGGTGCATTACAGGCTGTCTATAATATGCAAAGTGGTCTGATGGAAGATGTGGGCCGGAAATCAGGAAATACCTCCTGCCCTGTCCAGCTTGGGTAATATAGTTAATAGACAAATCTGTTCACTTGATGTCATGGAACTAGCAGACGCCAGGTTAGAGACACCAAGTTCAAAACCCACTCTACCATTGAACAGCTGTGTGTGCCTCAGCAGGTTATATAATTTTACAAGGTTTAATTTTCACAGCTTGTGAAATGGGGTTAGAAATGTCCACCTCAAAGGATTGTTAGAAGGTTAAAAGAGACAATGTGGGTAAATTACCTTGCACTTAGTTGACCCTCAGTAAATGTCCCTGCCCCTCTCCATCCCTTGCTTCAGTACTGGGTTGTTGTGAGGAATAAGAAAGGGTGTGTATGGTTCGGATCCCTGGTGCGGACATGGCACCGCTTGGCAAAAGCCATACTGTGGTAGGCATCCCATGTATAAAGTAAAGGAAGATGGGCATGGATGTTAGCTCAGGGCCAGTCTTCCTCAGCAAAAAGAGGAGGATTGGCTGTAGTTAGCTCAGGGCTAATCTTCCTCAAAAAAAAAAAAAAAAGGTATGTATGAAAGCACTCGGAAGGGCTAGAAGTGCTATGCAAATGAGAGTAGTTGTATTGTTGGAATGCAGAGAAAGGAAAAACCCACGTAGTTTGATGTAGTCAAGAGAAAGAACGTGGTTTTCCTTGGCCCAGAAGAAAGAACACATTAGGTGGGAAGAAAAGATGTGACATAAAGATTAGGGAGGTATCAGTTAGCTTACTTTTGTTAAGCACTTACTCTGTGCCAGGCTGTATGTGCTGGGCACTCAAGGACATTAAACACAGTCCCTTCAGGGGGCTTACAGTCCAGTGACAAAGTAAACAAGTAATTCCATATAATGAGACAGATATTATAACAATGATACCTAATACTTACAGAGCTTTTACTAAGTGCCAGGGGATAATTTGACAGTACATGATATCATATCTTGAGGGCAGAGATTCCAGACAGAAGAAGCACCTTTGGTAAGGCCTGGAGGGGAAAGAGCTCAGTGCCTGTGTGAGGCCGGCAGGTGGTTCTGCTGGCTGGAACAGTGCTGCGCTCAGGGGGATGAGGGAGGAGCAGCAGACAGGGCTGGACCACACTAAGGAATCTGGACTTCATCCTGAAAGCTGTGAGGAGCCAGTGGAGGTTTTATTTTGTGTTTCATTGACAAGGACGGAACCTACACCATGTAATGAGAGCTAGATACTTCATGTCCTCTTTGATGACATCCTTTCCCCAGTGGCTGGTCTAGATAGAATCTCCTTTGATTATAAAAATAATATTTAGTTAAACTAAAAATGCAAATAATAGATGTATATAGAGGAACATAAAAGTCCATGATCTCCCTCAGCACCACTCTCATTTATTAATAAAGACATAAATTTTTAAAAAAGAGAAATAGTATCAATCATACATACTGTTCATCAACTGGATTATTTTCACTTAATAATATGTCTTGGACATCTTTCATATCACTAAACATAAATCTACCTCTTTTCAATAGTTGTCTAGTCTTCCATTATATGGATATATGGTAATTTTTTAACTCTTCCCTATTGATGGATATTAACTTTTTAAAAAAATTGCCAGGGCTGGCCTGTGGCACAGTGGTTAAAATGCGCACGTTCCGCTTTGGCGGCCCGGGGTTCGCCGGTTCAGATCCCGGGTGTGGACATGGCACAGCTTGGCAAAAGCCATGCTGTGGCAGGCATCCCACGTATAAAGTAGAGGAAGATGGGCGTGGATGTTAGCTCAGGGCCAGTCTTCTCAGCAAAAAGAGGGAGGATTGGCAGTAATTAGCTCAGGGCTAATCTTCCTCAAAAAAAAAATTGTCAACATTATAAACAATGCTCCATAAAAATCCTCATAGATAAATCTTTACTCTGCTGCATGTGTACTTATACATGTAGCAGTACTTCTCAAATTTTAATGTGCATAGCAATTGCCTGAGGATCTCATTAAAATGTAGATTCTGAGCCAGCCCTGATGGCCTAGTGGTTAAAGTTCTTTGTGCTCTGCTTCTGTGGCCCGGGTTTGGTTCCTGGGCGTGGAACTACACCACTCATCTGTCAGTAGCCATGCTGTGGCGATGACTCACAAAGAAAAACTAGAAGGGAGCCAGCCCAGTGGTGCAGGGGTTAAGTTTGCACATTCTACTTCGGTGGCCTGGGGTTCACTGGTTCGGACCCTGGGTGCAGACCTATGCACTGCTTGGCAAACTATGCTGTGGCAAGTGTCTCACATATAAAGTAGAGGAAGATCGGCACAGATGTTAGCTCAGGGCCAGTCTTCCTCAGCAAAAAAAAGAGGAGGATTGGTAGCAAAGGTTAGCTAAGGGCTAATCTTCCTCCAAAAAAAAAAATGAGAAGAACTAGAAGGACCCACAACTAGAATATACAACTATGTACTGGGGCTTTGGGGAGGGGAAAAAAGAAGTAGATTCTGACCCCTCAACTGATGCCAATGCTCTGGTCCACAGACCACACTTTGAGTAAAATGGTTCTGTGAGATACATTCTTAGGAGGTGCAGTTTCTGGTTCAAAGGGTATGTACCTAACTTTGCTAATCTTAATAGGTTGAAAAATGGATTGGTCATTATTATTTTAAATTTTCTTTTCTGAGGAAGATTAGCCCTGAGCTAACATCTGTGCTAGTCCTCCTCTACTTTGTGGGTTGCCACCACAGTATGGCTGATGAGTGGTGTAGGTCTGCACCTGGGATCAGAACCCGCCAACCTGGGCCGCCGAAGCAGAGCGTGCCGAACTTAACCACTATGCCACAGGGCCGGACCCTAACGTGCATTTTTTGATTGTTTGTGAGATTGTTTCTTTTTATATATCCATGTGTTTGAATTTATTTTACCAAATGCCTTTTCCTAACTTTTTTCACGTTTCTGCCGTGTCATTTTTTTTCATTGATTCGTAGAAGCTCTTTATGATTTGGATGTTAACTGGCAGAGACTGCCAGTTGCCTACCTAATATTCATTCTTCCCTTCTTCCTTACTAACACAACTGTTTTTAAACAGTTTTATTAACATATAGTTCACATACCATAAAATCCACCCATTTAAAATGTACAGTTCAATGGCTTTTCGTACTCAGAATTGTGCACCCATCACCACAATCAATTTTAGAACATTTTCCTTACCCTAAAAAGAAACCCTGTACCCCTTAACCATCACATCCCAATCCCCCCCTCCACCCCTGCCCCTGGCAACCACTAATCTACTTTGTGTCTCTATAGATTTGCTTATTTTGTACATTTTATATAAATGAAATCACGCACCATGTTGTCTTTTGTGACTGGCATCTTTCACTTAGCATTGCGTTTTCAAGGTTCATCCATGTTGTAGCATGTATCAATACTTCACCCCTTTTAATTGCTGAACAACATTCTGTTGTGTGGTTTATACCACATTTTATTTTATTTCTTCATTCATCAGTTGATGGACATTTGGGTTGTTCCCATTTTTGTCTATTATGAATAATGCTGCTATGAACATTCATGTACAAATTTTTGTGTGGCTGTGTGTTTTCCTTTCTCTTGGTTATATATGCAATGAGTATAAATATAAAAATAATACTCTAGGGGCCGGCCTGGTGGCACAGCAGTTAAGTTAGCACATTCTGCTTCTCGGCAGCGCGGGGTTCGCCGATTCGGATCCTGGGTGCAGACATGGCACTGCTTGGCAAAAGCCATGCTGTGGCAGGCGTCCCACATATAAAGTAGAGGAAGATGGGCACGGATGTTAGCTCAGGGCCAGTCTTCCTCAGCAAAAAGAGGAGGATTGGCAGCAGTTAGCTCAGGGCTAATCTTCCTCAAATAAATAAATAAATAAATAAATAAATAAAACAATACTCTTAGTATCAAAATATAGGATTCTGTGTTGTAATGAATGGATTCCAAAGGAGGATGTGATT